TGGAAGAACTTTAATTGGCGACAATGCTTGTTCCATTAATATTTGTAGTGCCCATTGTTGAACTGTCTATTTCTCTTCACTTTAAACTTAAACAAATTGGAGATAAGCACTCTTTCTCTGCACTTCGATTAGTGCCACATAAATGTGGTTAGGATAGTTAATAATATTTCTCTTCAGCCCCATATTCATGTTATTTTTAAAGATTTTTGTTCAGCAATTGCCACCAGACTGGGTCAGCTTTAACAGTCCTCTTGTATTTGTCATCAAAAATCTTGTGGAATAATTAATAATTGTTTTGAAAGTACTTCACAGTGCCTACTATATTAGCCTTTGCTTTTGCAAAATTCTTTTCCTTCTTTCCTAGCAAAACTGTATGCTATTAATTTGTGACTTTTCTTTTTTTAAAATCTTATCCTAGATACATTTGTAGCATTCTTCATGACAGAGATAAGTACTAGATATGAACTCATGGGTTTCTTATAGCTTCCATTAAATGTTTAGCACTGTACTTTTTAAAGAATCTATTGTTTCAGTAAAAAAGGAGTTTCTTCTTTCTGATGATACATGATAGAACTGTGATGGCAAACCTATGGCACGCGTGCAGGAAATGGCATGCAAAGCCCTCTCTCCGGGGACGCCAGCCATCGCCCATTGCTCTTCCAGGTTCCAGTGCGCACATGCGCACTGGCCAGTGGTCTTCGCATGCACAGGAGCACCAGAAACTGGAAGACCAGATGACCGGCGCACATGCCCATGCCAGAAACCAAAAGCTCAGCTTCCTGGCATGCACATGCGTGCCAGCAAACTGCTCTTCCGGTTTCCGGCACTCCCCTCTGTGCGCGCTCCCGTTTTGGCATTCAGTGCCGAAAAGGTTCGTCAAAACTGTGATACAAGATACACATATAATAGAATCATTAGGGACACGGTTCCAACATTCAAGATTTATCTCTCAATTATTTGCACAATTCTCACTTTCTTCTTTGTATCCACTTTATTAAACCATTGCCCTACAACTTGTGTTGAGTGAATTGCATCCTAGGTTGAACTGACTGAACCTTATCAATGAAATATAGATTCTTGACCATATGGAGGCATCTATTGGATAAACAAAGTAAGTCATATTTATCTTCAAATAATAGCTATAATAGGATTAAGACAAGAATTGGGTACCAATTAAGAAAGATAGTTAATTTAACATGGAATTTATGATATTGTCTTATACGTAAATATAGAGGTATAGATAAGAATATAAATATAATCTACCGATGTGACAAATTGGAAAAAGGAGTCGTAAGACTTGATTTATGTTTATTTGTTTTGTATGTTGTATTGTTGTATCTATGTTTGTTCGTTATTTTTAATCAATAAAAAATTAAAAAAAATAAATATAATAGGATTAAAAAGTTATAGCCATAAACTCACTTTATTTTCAACAATTTGTTTGAGGAAAGGTTTCAATTATTTAAAATTTCAAAATCCATTTTTAACGTAAAAATGTTTATGTTAAATGTTTAAAGTAAAATATTTTACTTTGTCTTTATCTGCCTAGCTAAGCATTTTACCTATTTCTTCTTCCCACCCTCCCCCCAAAAATGTTTAAAATAGGAACAAATTCTTGTCACCTCTTTAGCATTTTAAAAAAATTACTCTTAAAATTATATTGTACACCCTAAATACCACCTGGCAAAATGCCTTACATATGTATAAAAGATGGATTCAGATAAGAAAGATTACTGATGTGAAGATGTTGAAAAGAAGAAGATGTAAATATCGATTTTTGTTTGTTTGGGGTTTTTTTGTTTATTTGTTTGTTTTGTTTTGTTTTTAAACTGTTCAATAAAAATTATTTTTTTTAAAAAAGAAAGAAAAACCCTATATGGAAGGGGAAAAGATTCATGAATGAGGAAAATACCTATTATATCTATAATAGCTTTGGTTAATAAAAATAGAATCCAGCAAAAATATCTACTTCAGGGCAGGCTTTAAAATGACTTTTAATTCTCTGTAAACACAATCCAGTCCACTAAAATATTGACGGAGAGACTATCCGTCTTGACCCAATCAGACCAATGAATACTACACAGCCTCCAGTCAAATATTGTTTACTTAAGAAAATTTTAAGACTTGATACAAGTCATTAAAGTGTTGAGCTTCAGGACATAGGAAGTCATCTCTGTACATTGCTCTTGGCTGCTGGCCCCAGATTTTTCTCTTCCCAGTACAGAAAGGTAGACAGTTGACAAAGCAGTCCATTCCACGTTTTTGACACCAAAAAAAAAAAAAAGTGATTTATGCAAGTCTGCTAAGTCACTCCAGTGCAGGGAAGAGAGGGGAAAAAATTAGACATTTGAAATTCTGATTCTTACAACGAATGGGGAGGAAAAGTGCCTGACTAGCCTTTTGAGACACTTGACTTAAATAGCACCACATATCAGTTTAATGGACATTTGAGGATATCACCCCTAGGCAGCAGAAGCCTGGTAAGCAGAAGGAGAGTGGCTAATGTTCTATTTATACTGTACCTTTAAAATGACAATCTAGCCATTCTCTCTTGGTGCACATTTTCATTATCAGGATGGTGTTTTGGTAGAAAAGGCTCAAATGGGTGGTAGAATAATCCATGCTACAGAATTATTACAAATAAAAAAGAGGCCCACCTCACTTCTGTATATTAATTTCCGATATATTAATTTCATTTTACTCTATGTTCCTTTTCAAAGCCACACGAAAAAGGAAAGACCGTTGTCGTTTCTAATGTAGCACAGCTATATAGGAGGACTAGCACATTTGTTCCTACAGCATGTACAGATAAATGGCAGATTTGGAACTCCTGTATTTCAGATGAACAAGGATAATAAAATAGAGCAAATTAATCAGAGTCAATGGCAGTGGTGGGATTAATTTTTTTTTTACTACTGGTTCTGTGGACGTGGCTTGGTGAGAATGGCGTGGTTTGGTGAGTGTGGCATGGGAAGGATACTATAAACTCTCCATTCCCACCCACTCCAGGGGAAGTATACTGTAAAATCTCCATTCCCTCCCTACTCCAGCGGAAGGTTACTGCAAAATACTCATTTCCTCTCAATCAGCTGGGACTCTGGAGGCAGAGAATAGATGGGGGCGGGGCCAGTCAGAGGTGGTATTTACCAGTTCTGCGAACTACTCAAAATTTCCACTACTGGTTCTCCAGAACTGGTTAGAACCTGCTGAAACCCACCTCTAGTCAGTGGACAATCAAAATAAAGGGTAGCACTAACAAATTTAAAGAGCACAAAGGCATTCACTTGCTTGATCAAGAGACTTACTAGTGGGGGATTTTCAACTGCCATTTCATTCTAACCATAGCTTAAGTCTATAGCTGGGGAGTGCTTGGTTTGCAATATGCCCCGACGTTGCCTAGTTGTTACTATTCATCAATTTTGACATGTCTATCTAATCTCTGAGTTTACACTGTACTTTTCCTTAATGTGAGTTGTACAGTATAAACACAGCTTTTGTGGTATGGCTATATAAACTGTTTCATAGCTTGGAGCAAGGTGGTGAACAATACTTAAAACCACATCTAAGCAGATGAACAAATTCAATAACACTTGACATGAGCAATAGCTTAATACAACCTGTGTACCTAACTAAAATGTGAAGCAGCTCCAGCTTGGTGTACAATAGATCATCAAAGCAATTATTTAAAAAAAACCCACATTTGAGTGACTTTTTTAAGTTTATAAAAATATAGTCTCACAAAAATATTGGCACAAACCTGTGCATATAAAATATACTATCATCAACATAAGTTTTATTGTACCCACCCAGAATCACTTCCTATGAGATGCAGGTGTATAAATTTGATGGATAAATAAATAAATCAAGGATGAAACTTAATGGGTTTATACCAGGGGTGAAATCCAGCAGGTTCTGACAGGTTCTGGAGAACCGGTAGCGGAAATTTTGAGTAGTTCGGAGAACCGGCAAATACCACCTCTGGCTGGTCCCAGAGTGGGATAGGAATGGAGATTTTGCAATATCATTCCCCTGGAGAGGGGTGGGAATGAGATTTTGCACTATCCTTCCCCTGCCATGCCCACCAAGCCATGCCCACCAAGCCACGCCCACAGAACCGGTAGTAAAAAATATTGAATTTCATCACTGACTCATACGCTCAAAAACAATAGTATTGTTTACTATATAAGTAGGCATTTTCTTGTTCTGGATTTAAAAAAAAAACATACCTCCCTCAATAGAGAAGCAATGTTGCTTTTTATTTAAAAATAACAGTAAAGGCAGAATAGGTTACATTAAGCATAAGCATTGCTTTTATCTTTATAGGCTTGGCTAAGATTTATCATATCAAAATCACTACTAGCTAAAATGCTGAAAAATAAATAAACTGCTATTATAAACTGAGACATTTATGACATGCATGCACTTCCAACCAAGTGTTTGAGCTTTCCCATTAAGAAATACAAGTAATAAGTATTCCAGTGCACACATTGTTTTAAGAATGTGAGCTTACCTTTCAAGTAAGGCGTAGGGAGTGTTGCATTTTGAAGCAGGTCTAACCAATTAAGTGTTGCTTAATTGGTGCTTTTCTAAAGGGTAACTGGAGGATGGGAAGGCCTTTGGCCATGGGGAGACATATTAGTCCACTAAAATGGAGTCATTAGAAGCCTTCTTTGAGGCTATTCCCCCCCCCCAAAAAAAAGCTTCTTGGGGGGGAAAGGACCCAAATCAGCCCTTCCTGACTGAACACATAAGAGAAACTTGATCTAAGAATTACAGGATTTTAGATGTCATAACCAGCACTTTACTCAGAAACAGTGCAAAAAATGATTTTCCTGTGTCAGCAAACAGGCTGCCACGTTCTGCCCCAACTGTCATTTTCAAGTAATTTTGAAAGTGTTGCAGTAATCCAGTCTGAAAGTAATGAGAACCTGAATTTCTGTCACTCATGCCCTCAGTTTCTAAACCAGTTGCAGCAAAGGCCACCTGGATATAGGCTGTACCTGTTGATTAAGGTGAAGTTGTGAATCAAAGAAAATCTCCAGTTCACAGACATGGGTAAAGCCCACAAAAGAGCTAGCAGTTAGGCAGATGGTTTCCGAACAGTCAGCAAATCTCCCTGCTAGGATTCTCTTTGAGCTTGATTCATCCTCTCCAATTCCTTATAGCCTCCCAATGCTGGATAATGACATCCACTGTATCTCTTGCTTGGCTCCAAAAAAGAGACATGCAATGCATTTTATCATTAGTATACTGATCTCTTATTCGGGACACATTATTTATTTTATTTTAATTTTTATTTATTTTTATTTATTAGATTCGTGTGCTGCCATCTTCTCTGGAGGTTACCTCTCTCAGTGAATTTACGTAGATATGAAAAAGTATCTCATAAAATATAGGCAAGACTTGATCACAATCCCCTGATAACAACAACTGGAATTGCTGATTCAGGAAGGACCGGGACCAGTATAAAACTTTTTTTTTCACCACTAACTTTTTGTTGGTGGTCCAGAAAATTGCCATGAATAATGATACAGAGTCACACTGAGAGGTCTCATAGAACCAGAACTGCATCCGTTTGTCTAGGTCCCAATGAAGGTCATCCAGAACAGTAACCAATATCATTTTCATTTGAGAGCTGTACCTGAAACTCAAATATAAAAGATCAAGATAATCTTGATACAAGTTCTCTGCTATTCATGTTCCACAGAATCTCCCACAACCTTCCTTTAAAGGAGAATTGAAGAATAGGTAGAAATTGTCCAGTGCAGTTGATTCAAAAAAACTTCTTCAAAACAAAATATAATTGAACTAATTCACTTATGTTCTAGCTATAGTTAAATCTATCTATCTATCTATCTGTCTATCTGTCTGTCTATCTATCTATCTATCTATCTATCTATCTATCTATCTATCTATCTATCTAATCATCCATCCATCCATGCATCCATCCAGTATAAATGTGAATCTAGTCTGAAATTGTGTCTGCTTGTAAAGGCATGTCAAGAAACTTATTTATTTCAAAAAAATTAATTATCCAATTTACATAAGTAGTTAATCAAGCAGAGTCGATTTCATGGTGCATAGACACTGCTATCCCACTGCATCATACACAAAATAAGGAACGAATTGAAATTGCTCTTTAAAACAGCAACAATCAACCTGGGAATACATATCCCATTTCAAACAGTTCTATGTACTCCCTCTAAAGTGCTGATTTACTTCACAAGCCTGTCCCCTTTAATTTAGATTTTTATTACTACATAAGAACATATCTCAATTATTTGAACACTGCTGTTCTCCTGTAGTCTTCCTGCACCTCTGCATATAAAACACAATCAAGTATTGTACAGCACAGGATAATAAGCAAGCACTCTCACAAGAGTAGGCATAAATGCAGAAAATAAATATATGTATGTGTTTGAAACAGAGATACTATTATTGGTACTACTACTATAACAGAGATAGTTTTTATCCAACTAGTGTTTCTGAACCTTGGCCAACTTTAAGACATGCAGACTTCAACTTCAGTGCTGGCTGGGGAATTCTGGGACTTGAAGTCTACACATCTTAAAGTTGCCTTCACTGGAGGATTTTAAGACATCACTAGAGGCTTTTAAACATCACTACTCAACCAGTGGAGACTTTTAAGAAGAGACTGGGCAGCCACTTGTCTGGAATTGTATAGGGTCTCCTGCTTGGACTAGAAGACCTCAAAGGTGCCTTACAGTCTTGCTATCTTGCTAACATTGATCTAAATATTAGAAACCTTAGGTGAGTTCAGGGATGTTCATGAAATGAGGGAGGACAAAATATCAAGATGGCAACCATGCCATTGAAACCCTGCCTTTTTTATGTTCATTGTGATCCATGTAACAAAGGGGAGAGACTTCAAATGCATGGTTATACTCACCATCTTACTATATTTCGTTCTATCCCCCCAAAGACCTCCTTTGTGTCAGTTAAGTTCATACAGATATGGCGGGAGCAGGGGGCCATATCATGTTAAGGGAGCACGCACCCGCTGTCTTCAAGCGGTAGAGTGCTCCGGCCCCCAAGGCTCCACCCGTTCTCCAGGTAGTACAGACCTTCAGGGCCCGGGCCTTTGTCTGATGTTGTGCAACACCAGGTCTGTAGTAAATAAAGCCCCCCTCATCTGTGATCTTGTTTACGAGGGGGGAGCGGACCTGGCGGGTATTACGGAGACCTGGTTGGGCCCAGAGGGAAATGTGCCCACCAGGTTTCCATGCATTCCATCAGCCAAGGTCACAGGGGAGGGGCGGGGGAGTAGCGGTTATTATTAGAGAAGGCCTTAGGCTGAGGGAGACCACTGTACCTCAGACAGCTGGTTGTGAGTCCCTCCTTGTGAAGTGGGGCCACGGGGTTCAGATGGGTTTGCTGATCACGTACCTGGCTCCCTGCCACGTGGTGGCAGCCCTGCCCGAGCTACTCAACGTTATTGCCGCGGTGGCGGTTGATACCCCCAGATTTATGGTCATGGGGGATTTCAACCTGCCATCCGTGGGTGAGGCGTCTGAGGTGGCTCGTGAGTTCATGGCTTCCATGACGGCCATGGACCTGACCCAACTAATTCATGGCCCTACGCACACTGGGGGAAACACACTGGACTTGGTTTTTGTCTCTGGACAGTGGTTGAGTGATCTCGAGATAGGGGATATAGTCATCGAGCCCTTGTCATGGTCAGATCACTCGCTCCTTCGCCTTGACCTTCGAACCGCGGCACCCCACTGCAGGGAGGCGGAACCGGTAAGATGGTACCACCACAGGCTCCTGATGGAACCTGATAGGTTCCAGATGGAGCTTGGGCCAATCCCGGAGGTTCTGGCTCACGCCTCATCTGGGGACCTAGTGGCCGCCTGGGATAGGGTGGCTGCTGGAGCCCTGGATCGAGTCGTGCCTTTGCGGCCTCTGACCCGGCGCCGATCTCGCCTGGCTCCTTGGTTCACCGAGGAGCTGAGGGAGATGAAGTGCTGGAAAAGACACCTAGAGAGCTGTTGGAGGGCTAGTCTTTCTGAATCTGACTGAACACTGGTAAGATCTCATATTAGGAGTTACCTAGAGGTGATAAAAGCAGCAAAATGTACTCATTTTACTGCTCTTATTGCGTCATCAGATAATCGCCCGGCCACCCTGTTTAGGGTGACCCGCTCCCTGCTCCACCAGGAAGCGCGGGAGGACCCCTTGGAGGGAAGAGCCGAGGATTTTGTTCAGTATCTGTATGACAAAATCACTCAGATTCGGGCAGGTCTGGACTCTGACGGGATAGATCCAGCGAGGGTAACGGAGACAGGTCTTGAGACTGTTATCTGGGATGAGTTTGATCCTGTGACCCCAGATGACGTGGACAGGATTCTGGGTAGATTGAACGCGACCACATGTTTGTTGGATCCGTGTCCCTCCTGGTTAGTGCTGGCTTGCCGAGAGGTGACACGAGGCTGGCTCCAGGGGATTATAAATGCTTCGTTGGGTGAGGGTGTCTTTCCCGCTGCCCTGAAAGAGGTGGTGGTAAGGCCTCTCCTCAAGAAGCCTTCCCTGGACCCGGCAGTATTGGCTAATTATCGTCCAGTCTCCAACCTTTGCTTCGTTGCGAAGGTTGTTGAGAGTGTGGTTGCGCGACAGCTACCTCAGTACCTGGATGAAGCATCGTATCTAGATCCGTTCCAGTCGGGCTTCAGACCTGGGTACATCACGGAAACGGCATTGGTCACATTGGTTGATGATCTCTGGAGGGCTCGGGACAGGGGTTGTTCCTCTGTCCTGGTCCTGTTAGACCTCTCAGCGGCTTTTGATACCATCGACCATGGTATCATGCTGCACCGGCTGGAAGGGTTGGGGGTGGGAGGCACCGTTTTACGGTGGTTCTCCTCCTTTCTCTCTGACCGGTCGCAGTTTGTGTTGACAGGGGGGGAAGAGATCGACCCCAAGGCCCCTTATATGTGGGGTGCTGCAGGGATCGGTTCTCTCGCCCCTTCTGTTCAACATTTATGTAAAGCCGCTGGGCGAGATCATCCGTGGTTTCGGGGTGAAGTACCATCTGTACGCTGACGACACCCAGCTGTACATCTCCACCCCGGACCACCCCAACGATGCCCTTGAAGTGATGTCCCAGTGCCTGGAGGCCGTAGGGGTCTGGATGGGGAGAAACAGGCTCAGGCTCAACCCATCCAAGACCGAGTGGCTGTGGTTTCCGACATCCCGATATAGTCAGCTGGCACCATCGCTGGCTATTGGGGGCGAATCATTGGCCCCCACGGAAAGGGCTCATAACTTGGGCGTCCTCCTGGACTCACGGCTGTCTTTAGAAGAGCACTTGACGGCCATGACCGGGAGGATTTTTCATCAGGTTCGCCTGATTCACCAGTTGCGTCCCTTTCTAGATCGGGACTCGTTACGCACAGTCACTCATGCCCTCGTCACCTCTCATCTGGACTATTGTAATGCTCTCTACATGGGGCTCCCCTTGAGGTGCACCCGGAGGCTCCAACTGGCGCAGAGTGCGGCCGCGCGGGTGGTTATGGGAGCAACATGGAGCTCCCATGTAACACCTCTCCTGCGTGAGCTGCACTGGCTTCTGGTGGTCTTCCGGGTGCGCTTCAAGGTTCTGGTTACCACCTTTAAAGCGCTCCATGGCTTAGGACCTGGTTACTTACGGGACCGCCTACTACCATCAACAGCCTCCCACCGACCAGTACGCTCCCACAGAGAGGGGCTCCTCCAGGTGCCGTCGGCCAAACAATGTCGGCTGTCGGCCCCTAGGGGGAGAGCCTTCTCTGTGGGGGCACCGACGATCTGGAATGAGCTCGACCCAGAGATACGGAGGATTCCGGATCTGCGCACCTTCCGCCGCGAGCTGAAGACGCTTTTATTTCATCAAGCTGGCCTCGCCTAAATCTTCTCCCTTCTAAGTGTAAATTTTAAATTTTTAATGTATTTTAAAATATGGGTATTTTAAATTATGGGTATTAATTCAGCCAAATTTATTTAATTCATTTTATTCGATTT